CGACCAGCAGCTTTGCTAGGTCTGATGTAGTCTGTGTTGCCAATGTTGATGCAATCATTCTGAATCCTTGTTGTCATGTTTTCCTAGTGAAACTCTTGCCAATTTTCCCCGTGAACTAGCAAGTAGTGTTGGCACTCGGAAACAACTAAGGAACGAACGAACGCTACGATCACTCTTGCCCCGTGCCTAGCCCGTAGTCTAGCTCCCGTTGCGCTAGTTATCTCCGCAGGAACCGGGTGCGAAACCCGTCTCACGTGCACCATACTGACTGAGTCCGACCGAACTGACAGACATGAAGAAACAGATAGAGTATCTACTGGACAGACAACTGATCCGCCCATCCACCTCTCCCTACGGTGCACCAGTCCTCTTCACTCCCAAACCAGATGGCAGTTTACGGATGTGCATCGACTACCGCGCACTGAACAAACAGACAGTTAAAAACAAATACCCCATACCGCGCATAGACGACCTACCGGACCAAATGCGTGGTGCAACAGTCTTTTCGAAGCTAGACCTACGGTCGGGTTACTGGCAGTTCAAGATGGCGGACAACTCGATCCACAAGACGGCATTCCGTACCAGATACGGCTCCTACGAATACTTGGTGATGCCGTTCAGACTCTGCAACGCACCAGCAACGTTTCACGCGGAGATGAATCACGTCTTACGACCCCTGCTGGACGAGTGCGTGGTGGTGTACCTGGACGACATTCTCATCTACTCCAAGAACATGAAGGAGCACGTGGAGCATCTGCGGAAGGTGTTCGAGATCCTGCGGAAAAACAAGTTCTACGTGAAGCTGTCGAAGAGCAACTTCGCCCTGAAGAAGGTGCAGTTTCTCGGACACATGGTGAGTGCTGAGGGCGTACACGTGGACCCGCGGAAGATCAAAGCTGTCAAGAAGTGGAAAGTACTGGAAAACGTGATGGAGTTGTAGCAGTTCCTAGGCTTTGCCAACTACTACAACAGGTTCGTGCCACAGTACGCTAAGATAGCAGCGCCACTGACCGACCTACTGAAAAAGGATACGCCCTACAAATGGGATACCCCTCATCAGCAAGCCATGGAGCAGCTACTGACAGCACTGACTATAGCGCCAGTACTCATCCTACTGGACCCAGACAAGGACTACGTGGTGGAAGCAGACGCTAGTGACCAAGCAGTCGGAGCAATACTGATGCAGGATCACGGACGCGGTTTGCAGCCCATCGCTTATCTCAGTAAGAACCTGCATGGAGCAGAACTGAACTACCCCATCCATGACAAGGAAGCCTTAGCGATAGTCATAGCCTTCAAGGCGTGGAGGTGTTATCTAGAGGGAGCCAAGACTACAGTCTATGCTGACCATTGCAGTCTCAAATACCTGAAGTTGCAGCCGACGCTCTCACGACGACAGGTGCGGTGGGTGGACTTCTTGGAAACTCACTTCCACTACGACATCGTCTACAAGCCCGGGCTACACAACAAGGGAGACGCATTGAGCTGCCCCGGTCGTGTAGCAGGCATCCAGCTCGATGGGATGAACCCTCTGCTCAAGGGTCTATTCCAACATGGGTACTCCGTGAATGCAGAGATCGCTACATCACAGACTAAGAAGCTGTTACAGTGGGAGAAAGACTTAGCTGTAAGGAAGGGTACAGAAAAGATTTGGGTACCGAACTATGCCCCGCTAAGACACATTCTACTGGAGGAGTTCCACGACGTACCGTACGCGGGACATTTCGGGAGCAACAAGACATTAGCAGGGATAGCGAAGTATTACTACTGGCCCGGGATGGCAGCAGACGTGCAGCAGTTCGTCACCTCTTGCGGCACGTGCCAGCGGATGAAAAGCAGCAAGCAGAAAAAAGCAGGGTTACTTCAGCCTCTGCCCGTACCGGAGCACCCATGGCAGGTCATTAGCTTCGACTTCATCACAGGACTTCCCTCGACCTCACGGGGACATGATTCCATCCTCGTAGTGATCGATAAGTTCTCCAAAATGGGTCACTTCATCCCGACCAACGCCACAGCTATAGCTGAAGCAACTGCTCGCCTCTTCTTCGACCGCATCATCACCATCCACGGCATCCCTGCTACACTCATCTCAGACAGAGACCCCAAATTCACAAGTAAGTTATGGAAGGAGCTCATGGGACTGTTGGGGACAAAGCTTGCAATGTCTTCAGCATACCACCCACAGACTGACGGACAGACAGAGCGACTCAATCAGGTGGTTGAACAGTTACTGCGGACAGCTTGCAAAGACAACGTCAGCCATTGGGACTCACAGTTACCAACCCTAGAGTTCGCTTACAACATGCGTCACATGCGGCCACAGGGAAAACTCCTTTCTTCCTATGTTACGGACGGGAACCACTTACACCGCAACAGCCAACCACACCGGCACACGTCCAAGCCGCACATGACTTCGTCACCACCATGCAGCAGCTATGGGAGAAGACTCAGCGACGTCTCACCACGATGCAGAACTCCCAGAAGCAGTATGCCGATCGCCAGCGACGTGATCACTCAGTAGCAGTCGGAGATCAGGTGCTTCTCGACATGCGCAACTTGAACCTGTCTCACCTACCATCCAAACTCCGGCCTCGCTTCTGTGGTCCTTTTCTCGTTGAGGCACAGGTGACACCAGTAACATTCCGCTTGCGCTTACCTACTACGTGGAAGCTTCACAATGCTTTCCATGTTCAGCTACTGAAGCAACTGCTCGCCTCTTCTTCGACCGCATCATCACCATCCACGGCATCCCCGCTACACTCATCTCAGACAGAGGCCCCAAATTCACGAGTAAGTTCTGGAAGGAGCTCATGTGATTATTGGGGACTAAACTTGCGATGTCGTCAGCATACCACCCCCAGACTGACAGACAGATAGAGCGACTCAATCAGGTGGTTGAACAGTTACTGCGCACAGCTTGCAAAGACGACGTCAGCCACTGGGACACACAGTTACCAACCCTAGAGTTCGCTTACAACAACGCGTCACATGCGGCCACAGGAAAAACTCATTTCTTCCTGTGTTACGGACGGGAACCACTTACACCGCAATAGCCAACCACACCGGCACACGTCCAAGCTGCACATGACTTCGTCACCACCATGCAGCAGCTATGGGAGAAGACTCAGCGATGTCTCACCACGATGCAGAACTCCCAGAAGCAGTATGCCTTTCGCCAGCGACGTGATCACTCAGTAGCAGTCGGAGATCAGGTGCTTCTCGACACGCGCAACTTGAACCTGTCTAACCTACCATCCAAACTCCGGCCTCGATTCTGTGGTCCTTTTCTCGTTGAGGCACAGGTGACACCAGTAACATTCCGCTTGCGCTTACCTACTACGTGGAAGCTTCACAATGCTTTCCATGTTCAGCTACTGAAGCCCTACAAGGACCCCAACCAACAGTTCTAGGGACGGCAGTTACGGCCACCACCACCTGTTCTCATACAGGATGAACCTGAGTACGAGATCGAGTGTGTTCTCACTCATCGGCGCCGCGGCGACAAGGCCCTCGAGTTCCTGATACGTTGGAAGGGCTACGACCCCACCGAGGATAGTTGGGTTGCAGAAGCTGATATGGGCAACGCACGCCGTGCTCTCAAGGACTATCTTGTCAAGCAGGGTGTTTCTCACGCCACCCAGCTTTGAGGGGGGGACGTGTGAGAGTACGACGGCTTATGCTGGCTTCGCTAGCTTGCCTAGACTTTATTATGCTATATCTAGCTTGGGTTTTATTTATCATGCATAGATATGCTTGATTTCCTAGGTTAGGTGCATTCCTATATTTTATTATAGTTATAGCACCGAACCAGGTTACGTGTACCAAACTCAAGCCTATTCGGTTTCCACCGAATTGCTTTCTACTGAGTTCGGGAAGGTTCTGTTCGGGGCGTTTCGCGACCCTCAGAACATTCACGTAACACCTGGGTAACTGGCGTTGTGTCGAGACTAGATATAGCCTCGTGTTGTACCCAGGTGGATCATTCAATTCACGTTCTCTTTTCTGAGCTCGATCCTAGATCCTTACAGCCACTACCGCCGCCCCCACCGTCTCCTCCAGCACCCTTGCCCCCCTTGCCCGTGCCGCTGCGGCGCCTCCCACTAGGAGCAGACGCAGCGCCGACCGACTCGGTGCCAACGAGGTCGAAAGCAGCAGCAGAGGCAACAGAGGGCAAAAGGGGGACGGGGGAGCACCCCTCAAAGAAAGGGGCACGAGGGTCACCACGGGAGGCTCCTACAGCGACTATACTCTTCCTTGCTGCAAGAAGGCGCTCCTCGAGGAGGTCAACGGTGAGTGTGGTGGGGCAAAGGGAGAGGAAGTGGTCCCTGACCAAGCGAAGGGAGTCAGGGAGCCAAGTGACGAGGTAGTAGAGGGTGATGTACATGGGGGGGGGGGGGGGGGGGGTTGGCGGCGCAAAACTCGGGGGGAAGCGCAGAGCGGTAGCGGGTGTCACTAGTGCGGAGGTGCGTAATGAGGTCAGCGACTATGGTAAAGGCGGCTAGGTCAGGAAACAGGTACGGTAGCATGAGGCGGCTCAGTTGCTCCAGTTGCTCCAGCCCGCGGGTCAGTTGCTCCAGCCGCTCGTCTAGCTGCGGAGCCACTTACTCCTGTAGTCCGGATGCCCTTGCTCCGGTAGCCTGTGTGCAAGTTGCCCCAGTCGCCCGTGTGCCAGCAGCTTCAACTGCCGCCTCCTACCTCCTCTCCTCTCACAGTTCCTCCTCCTCCTCCTCCTCCTCACTTCGCCTCTTCTTCTGCTGCGCCCACAGGGTGTACCACTTCAGGGGGAGTTCTGCAAATGGCTATTCCTGCATGCACTTAGGGGGTGTGTCTGAATATATTTTATATTTTTTTTTGTATAAGTGCATATAGTTCTAGCTGTAGTGTAGTCCCATAGTTGTTCTGTATGGTGGTGCACCACTTCTTGCATGCTTCTCCTCTATTTGTACTTGTGGTTCTATAGTTCAACCCCTTCTTGCTTGGACATCTCTCCAATGCCTAGGTTAAACCCTAAGCTTCTTGTCTTCACTATGCCTACTATTTTGACAGCGCTTCCCACCATGACCGCTCTGCGCGCCCCCCGCGCTGCCTCCGCCATTCCGCCCGCCGCCATTCTTGCGCGGAAGCGAGGTGTTGGGGAGAACCGCGAGCAGTGCGTCGACGGTGGCGGCGTCCGCGTTCTCAAGGAAGGCGTCAAGGCGCGCCTCCGCGTGCAGCAGCCACCACCCCGCGCGCTGCTGCCAGTTCGCCGCGGCGAGCGGCAGCGCGAGGACGTCCGTAGCAGCGGCGTCGCACACGGCACCCTTCACGATGGCGAGCGAGTCAGGCGGACTGCCCGCCGCGTCGACCAGGAGCGTGTCGATGAGGAGGTTGTAATTGCCAGTGAAGTTCCTGGTGAGGGCGCGGGGACGAAGGAGAGGGGGGGGGGGGACGTGGGAAGGGGAGGATGAGGGCAAGACACAATGAGTTGGGCGATCAGAAGAAGCTAATATGCCGCAGATTCTACAAAGCCAAGTGGAGGGGTTCGTGAGGAAGCCAATCCTACAACTAGCAACTGGAAACAGGTGAGGGAAGCGCAGAGGATTTGGGTTTCCTTGCGATGCTAGGCGACAGACAAGAAGGCAGTGACGCCTACTTGAAGATGGCGAGGTGGAAGCGGCTATCAAGGATCGTCTGCTTAGAGGAGCAGTTGGCGAGTCGCGCGCCAACATCGGCCGTCATCCCAAAAAAGTTTGGCCCAAAAAGCCCCCCCCAGGTTACCCACAGCTTATCCCCTGGGGGGATACCTCGGGGTCCCTGTCTAGATGACCCGCGGGTCACCTCGGCAAAAACCGCTTCGCGTGGTGACCCACAGGAAACCGCTCCCAACCTGTGGGAGCAAATCACACGCGAGCCGACTTCTCGCCATGGAATACATCGCCAACACCAATATTGTGCCTACAATACACAAAAGACCCTACAGTTTGACCAACATGTTATATGTATAAATAATACCATATATGGGCACAATTAAAATTGATAGTATTCGAATCATACGTTTCATACCTATACTCATTTAGCGATTGAAGAATAGCTTGGGTTTAGCATATTTATGGGTTCTACCTTTTACAGATTGCACTATTAGCATTCCACTATTCAGTCATGTACATATTGAGATGTGACAATGCAGGAACTTTCAACAATTGCACAGATATAACATTCAGCTAGGACATTATACATCCACCCTACATGCTTCACGCTTCATCAGCTATGATTTCCCCTTGAGAATAATCAATCAATACCCTATGCATAATAGTATGCTCCTGCAACACACCCGCCAACAAACACAGAGAAAACCAGAAAAAGCAGCAACACAGGGCATGTCTCAGAGACATGGTGTCAAGCAAGATTTTTACCTCACGAATAAGGCAGCGTCTACAGGCATGCAGAGAGAGTGCAGTCCCGGAGTTCGAAATCAAAGCATGTGAGAATAATACGAGTGAATGAATGAACTAGGAAGAAGGTGGGTACAAGTAGGAAAACCTAAAAGTGTCGTACCCCATATTCTCTACCCCGCTACAGCCTACACAGACTATAGCATATAAGTTTGACACACCCCCAAAGGCAAAGTGGGGGAGAACAAGAGGCCACAAGACCAGTCAAGAAGAGCAAAGCAAGCTCAGGGTGGATCACGATGTCACCACGCATTCTGAGCACAAGAAAACGGCCACAAGGCCAGTTCACATGCAGAGTCATATAAAGCAGAACAAGCAAGACATTGATCACAACCTAGCAAGTATAAGCATGCAGGTATATATATAGAGATCACAGTACAAACAAAGTCAAGAAGTGAGCAAGTGAGGCCAAGTGGGGACAAGGCCTAGAACAGTACAGAACTGCTGATGATCACAAGGCTGAAGTGCCTTGGTGAAGATATCAGCAATGTTGGCCTGAGAGGCCACGTAAACAAGACGAAGCTTGACCCTGCTGCTGCAACTCTCGAGCAAGGAAGTAGCGAAGAGCGATGTGCTTCGTTACGTGCTCCAGTATCTGCTCACGACACAACGCAAGCATTGCCTTGTTGTCGACGTACAGAACTGGAGGAGAACGAGGCACCTCTCCCAGGTCGGTCAGCAGGTAGGTGAGCCAGCGTAGCTCCTGTGCAGCCTTGGCCCCTACGTATATCTCAGCCTCACAGCTGGAGCTGAGAACAGAAGACGAGCAGGTAGACCGCCACGAAACAGAACCGGAGCCAAGGCTGAAGGTGTAACCCTGTGATGACCGCTGCGTAGCCAAGTCGTCAACCCAAGAAGCGTCTGCGTGACCAGTGAGGACAACTGGACCCCGTCCTCCAAGCACAAGCCCCATGCCCGACGTACTGCACAAGTAGCGCATCACCCTCTTAGCTGCCTTCCAGTGCTCTGGATGGTGTCTCCCGGGCGCAACGTAGTGTGCCAGGATGTTAAGAGGGTAAGCAAGGTCAGGTCGAGTGCATGTCATCAGGTACATGAGGCAGCCCACAAGCTCTGGATACGGGCCACTCGGCTCTACCGACTCATCCGAAGGAAGAGCTGAGAGCGAGTGACCCGTAGGCAGAGGAGTGGCCTGTGGCGAGGAGTACTCGAAGCGGAAGCGCTGAAGGACCTGCTGCACCATGTGTGACTGAGTCAATGTATTGGTGCGCCGTGCTCTGTCCCTGGTGATCTGCAAGCCAAGATAGCTGTGCAGCTCACCCAGGTCTGTGCACGTGTGTCTCTTCTGCAGCTCCGACTTCACTAGAGTCAGTGCCTCAGTGTCAGCAGTGGCAAAAACCAAGTCGTCGACGTACACGAGGATGTAGAGCGGCGGCAGCGAATTGTCGGTATGTAGAAACAGCGACGGGTTAGCAGTAGAAGGAGCAAACCCAAGAGCCGCAAGAGTCGTCCTCAGTGTGTCATGCCACTCGCGAGGCGCCTGGCAGAGACCGTAGACTGGCCGCCGGAGGCACCACTGGGTACCAGGAGGGAACGACACAGTGAAGCCAGGTGGGCGGCGCAGCCAGATCTCCTCGTGCAGGCTGCCCTTTAGGAAGGCTGTGCTGAAGTCAAGAGAGTGGAGCTCGTAGTCACGCTGAGCGGTGACGTGCAGCAGCACCCGAAGAGTGGTCATCTTCGGGGTAGGGGAGAAGGTCTGAAGGTAGTCAACTCCCTGTCGCTGACTGAAGCCTTGAGCAACGTAACGCGCCTTGAAGACAGGCGGAGAACCCGACAGGCGCTTCACCCTGAAAATCCACATGCCATCGACAATGTTCGCCCTAGGTGGGGGAACCTCGTCAACGTAAGTGCCTGTGGACTTCCAGGAAGCCATCTCTGTGTCCATGGCGGTCTGCCACTGAGAGGAGTAGGGACCCTCTATCGCCTCTGCGTAAGAGCGCGGGGTCGGGATGTCTGGTGCATCCGGGTCTCCCTCAGGTGCAAGCTGCATGGACACGAGATGGGGTAAAGCAGCGGCAAAACAATGAAACTCCTCCTGCCTGTCCTCAAGGACGTCCGTGCCAAGAGCACACTCACCCCCGACAGACGGAGAACAGACAGACTCAGACTCAGCAACAAGACTAGCAGCGTAGTCTCGAGGACAGCGAGCAGCAAAGTCGACAAGCTCAGCAACTAAGGCAAACGCAGCTGTGGACTCAAAGGAAGGGTCACTGACAACAGTGGCCAGGAGACGCGTGACAGTAGGACTAGCAGCACGAAGGGAGTCAGACTTCGGGTCCGGACCGTTAGCAAGGGAGGACGCAGGAGGAGACGGCAGAGGGACATGCTGTGGAGCTGTGGAAGGACGCAGTGCCATCTGGTGCGTGCCAGGGACAGGAGGAGGACGCGGACGCGGAACACGACGACCAGTGTGAGCAGCGCGAACAGGCGACGCAGGGCGAGACGCAGGCTCACGACGCTCAGCAAGACCTCTGGTTGGACCAGTCTAAGGAGAAGCAGCAGGCAGTGGGGAGGGTGGCTGTAACTGCGACTGGGACTCGACAGACGGTGGACACTCTAAGGGAGGAGTAGGACCAGTAGAAGGCGGGAGACCAAGAACCTACTGAAGGAGTGGAACGAAGTACGGCCGCGGCCGTACAGCACCACCAGATTCAGCAGAGGGACCTCCAGCACCTCCAGCTCCAAGGTCTCCAGCTCCAACTCCCGCAGCACCACTAGCTCCAGCACCAGCAGCACCACCAGCAGAAACAGCTCCAGCGCCTCCAGCTCCAACTCCTGCAGCACCACTAGCTCCAGCACCTCCAGCAGGAACAGCTCTAGTAGCTCCGGCTCCAACTCCAGCAGAACCACCAGCTCCAGCGGCTCCATTACCTCCAGCAGCAGCAGCTCCAGCACCTCCTGCTCCAAGGCCACCCGCGGCAGGCTCCTTAGCCGCAGCAGCTCCGCCCTGACTCCTCCAGCGGCGAGCAAACCACTCTCGTAGCTGCTGTGGAGAGAGAGGCTCCCGCCGAGACGAGGCCCCCGCAGGACCTCGAGCAGACTTAGCACCTCCCGTCTCAGCAACCGCAGGCTCGACACCCCCTAGCTCAGCACCCCCAGACTCCACACGCTCAGGCTCAGCACCCCCAGGCGCCGTACCCCTAGGCTCAGCACCCCCAGACCCAACACGCTCAGGCGCAGCACCCCCAGCAGCACTTGAGTCAACCGCTACCTCGACAGGCTCGACAACGTCTACCTGAGACACACCTGAGGGAGCAGGACCCTGAGGGGGGAGGGGGTCTACCGGGGGAGGACCTGGTGCAAGGAAGAGCGGGGGGGGGGGAAGAGGGGCAGCGCGGTAGGGGAAGAGACGGTAAAAGGGAACCGACTCGTCGAGCGTGACGTCCTGAGAGGGCAGGACTCGGCGCGAGGTGGGGTGGTAAAACTGCCAGCCAGGCGCGTCAGGGACAAAGCCAAGGAAGACGCAGGGAATAGCATGGGCGGAGAGCTTGTCCACGGTGGTATCGCGGACAAAGGCACGAGAACCCCAGACTCGGAACACTGACGGATCGTCAACCTTCCCCGTCCACTGCAGTGTGGGCGAGGTCTCCGGCAAGGAGACACGAGGCCAGAGGTTGAGCTGATGTGCAGCGTAGCGGACCGCAAACGGCCATAGAAAATGGGGTTTAGCCGCATGGACCATGGAGGTACGAGTTACCTCCATGACCAAGCCAATGCGGTGCTCAGCAACCCCATTTTGCTGCGGAGAGGCCAGGAGCGTGGACGTCTGGCGAATGCCCTCCCCACGACAAAAGCTCTGCAGAAGGTTAGAGGAAAACTCTCCACCTCTGTTAGAGTGCACACGGAGGACGGGAAACTCCGTCCCGAACCGCTCGCGGAGCTGGAGACGGGCAGCGCGAGGGATCAAAACATCAGGGACCTCACCCTTGGTGCTCAAGGGGAAGACCGTGGTGTAGCGCGAGTAGTCGTCAACAACCAGCAGGAAGTACCGCTCGCGGTCCTGTCCACGGACACGGGCTAGGCCCCAAACGTCCATGTGCAGGGTCTGCAGGGGAGCAGTCGTCGGGGGGAACGAGGAGGAGTGAGGAGCAGCGTGCTGCCGCCCCTCAATACAGGGAAGGCAGGGAGGGGCAGGGGAGGGTGGGAGAGGAGGGAGAACCCTGGGAAGACCAGAGACAAGGACACGTCGTTGCATGCCACGAAGGCGCTGCACCGAGGGGTGACCAAGACGGTGGTGCCAAAGAAGGGTCCGGTGCGACACAGCCCGAC